CGGGATTCACTAAATGGGAAGCAATTAAAGCACAATTACTGACAGCTATTGTCGGCATTTGTGGCGCAATGTTTGTCCTCTTATTTGATTCCACAAACAGTGAAGACATTAACGTAAGAGTGCTGTCCTTCACTTGCGGCGCATTCCTCAATATATCACTTCTCAATTTGATGCCTAAATTACTTCAAGAGAAAGATATTCGGTTCGTAACCATTAATTATTAGCTTATATAAAAACTTAGTTTGTCCATTCTGTTCTGGTGTAGTTTACATTTTAAAAATGGTATCATAATTTAGGTTCACACTCTTAGGCACCAGATACCAAGTTTTATAAAATTCGCATCAATACACAGCAATATTTTATATGATAATCAAAATAATGTATTCCTCTACGAGAGTATCTATTTTGGTATTTACAGTATTTATTTTGATGAAAAATATTTACTAAAATTGATCATGCTCAAAAAATAATAGAGATAAAACAAAAGCCTTCCTCTTCTGAAATGTTCAATATTTAACGATATGTTATTTTGTGCCCAACTCTGTCTAGTGGTCCCCCAACTGTGACCACTTCATTATAAGCAGTGGACACAGTGTTGGCCTGTATTCCAAATAAATTAACTGCATTTTTTCAATTGTTGTCAATATTTCAAAATAATTGCAACTGATATTACTTAAAAAATGCGAGTAATGTGACCAGTTATATGACCGATCTTCCAATCTTTATGAAACTTAGTTTCTGGTGCTTAATAATGTTAATCTAGATAATGATACCATTTTCATAATTCTTACTGCACCAGAAAATTAGGTTTTCATTGACTCAATACATTAAATCACACATTAATTGGTTGTTTTATTCGAAGGCAATCTCTTTGGCAACTCATAGCGATTGGACTCGGAATAGGAGTTATGATAATAGTTAACTGTTTTGAACAAAACTAATGAACATGTTTATTATGTCTGATTGTAATCAATATAACTTTAAAGTACATATTTTCAAATATATCTCATTTTAAAAAAAGATTAATGAATGTTAAACTGATTGAGCCGTTAATTTAAAATACATTAAATGTATGATTATTTTGGAAGTCTTTTTAAAAGTTTCATTTCATGGCTCAACCAAATGGCTATCGAGAGGACAGTTAGAGCTCCCGATTGATGGGTTGCGGCCAATGTTTTGGGTACGTATAGTAATAGAGTAGTGATGCCGAGCGCCACTTGTAATACAGTGGCAGCCATTAGACAGTTGACTGCGAGACGCGTTCGCGGACTTAATGGCAAACGTCTTGAATAAAGCCAAAGCCCTGTTGTGGTGACGAACACTAACTCTCCTAACAATCTGTGGTCGAACTGAACAGTTGTCGCGTTTTCAAAGAAGTTCTTCCATTTGGGAGACTGTGAGAGAATGTCAGTCGGTATGAATCGGTCCGCCATTAATGGCCACGAGTTATACACCAAACCGGCATCTAATCCGGCGACTAAAGCACCCGATAATGCCGTTACAAATACTAGCGCTTTAGTCATATGAGTATATCTGCGAAACTTCATTAACTTTACGCTGTTTTCGATCTGAATTACATTCAAATAAATATGATTTTAAACTTAATTTTTACGTAAAATTAAAACATGTCTTTTGGCAGACCTGTGAAGGAGGCAACAAATGAGTCAAACCAGACCATAATAATAGTGAATAGAAAACAAAAGCTGTTCCCAAATGAGCGGCCAATCGGTAGTGACTAACTTTGGGATCTCTTTGGTATTCAGTTTTCTCTTCGAGACCACTCTTAACCATAAGCCAACCCAACAAACCCTACAATCAATTCATTTTCATATAACTTAATATCCATTTTGAAGCGTTTGAATGTGTGGTCAGACCTGAAACCCCAAAAGGGCTCCAAATATAAGAACTCTGGGTTTCATGGCTTTGGCAAACCATCCCTTATACCAGAAAATAGTGGCCGGTATTACATATACGGCACCAATGACTCGGCCAAGACTTCTGTGGATGTACTCCATATACCAAATCCATTTGAACTCTTCTATTGTCATGTCTTTATTCCGACTAAACTTATTGTCAAAAAATAATTATCACATAATTTGTTACAAAAAAAGTAATGACAACAATAATAATCACATTTTGAATTCGGGAAACATTTTATATTTGTTAAACTCTTGCGTCCATTGAATGGCCGAAAGCGGAGGAAACTCTTTGAATGGATGCCAATCGACAATAGAGAGGCCAGAATTGGTGAGACGAGTGACACCTCCGACGAGAACCGTCCCGAAAGTGAGTCCACCGCATGTCATAAGCCATACGCCGACCGCTTTGCGAGCCTTTGCCGACACTTCTTGTGTTTGTCGTCCATTCAATTGGTTCACACTTTTGGTGACATTCAGTGCTTTTGATAAACAAAACTAATATATGGTTTGAATCGCAGATCACATGTCAATGCA